AATCGGGTCTCAGAGCCCTTGTATGGCCATAGGTAATGTGAACTCTCCCTTCTTGGATCATTTAGCTGATAATTTTGCAGCAAAATTTTGTGAAGCAATCTTATTTCCCTCACTTGCAAGTTCCTGGGAGACAATTCACCACACCTCCCATCAACAGTTGTTTGGATGGGAGATTCAGGCTGGAAGGACATTGGAAGTAATTCCTCTAGAATATAAATGAATCTGCAGAATGTTTTCTTACTCATTACCTACTTCTTCTTCAACTAGCCTTTTTGGAGTTAGAGCTCCCGATGGTTACAGTCTGCCTGCAAGATCTAGTCACCTGCTTGATGGGTTGTGTTAAACCATCTATCACAACAGTAGTAATTTTTCCTTTCAGTTTGAAGCATGCTGAATCCTTATCCCTTCTGCTTCCTTCTTGATGAAAAGCTGCTGAACCTTCCATTGATTCTCAAAAGGAGTTATAGCTTTTAGCACTGCATTAATCTGCTTCTGCAGATCGGGGTATTTATTTTTGAGATCTCCATCATGTTGACTTCCATATTTGGACACTATAAAGTAAGAACCATTGGGGAAAAAAACAACATCTGAAAATATACTAATGAGCATCTTAATTATGTACCCACCCTTCAGTTATTGCTTGGTGGGGGAGGGACAGTAAATTATTTTTTTAAAGAACAAGAAGCAGAAAATATCATATTATATAATTCTATAAGGTTCGTATCTGTCTAATTGCAACATAAATTCCTTTAAAACAAATCATTGAAATAAATGTGGGTGTAGAAAGGGCTCACTGAGGAGGGAAGGACTGCAAATACCTACCAGCCAAGTCTCCCCTTATTCTTCTGGAAGGTGGTAGCACAATGGCCCTGTGAGTTGTATGTATTTGTCCGCTGATGTAATATTTCTATTCTAGAAGATGTATTAGTACTAAGATCATATACTGTGTATCACAGAAACTTTCTCTGAAGCTCATGCATGTCTGTGCTTCCTTTCCTCAGTGCAAGTTTAGCAATGTCTCAGACACCAGAAATGACATACCTCAATGTTCAATAGGAAGGGACAATTTGGACAAGGCACTTGCTCCTCCTTATGCCTTTTCTGTAAAACAGAAGGACTGAATTAGATGACTTCTTCAATTCCTTTCAGTTCTCAAATTTTTTATCACTCTTGAGAATTAACCTTTCTTGTCTTTCTCTTCCTTCCCTTCTTTTTTACCTTCCTATCAGCTACTTGTCTTAAGTAGTTTTGAGGTTGTTTCAGAGATGGATTTTCCCTAATAAAACCAAACTTCAGGTTCCTCACTTGATTCTTTCCAAATAAAAAAGTTCAGTTTCATGTCTAAATTTATAGTTTAATAATATGTCCTTTGTCTTAAAGAGAGCTCTCAAATTCGTATGCCCTTCTAGGCCCCACAAAAATCTGTATTCCCTCTGGACGGCTTAGAGAAATAGAAAGATAGAAATAATAGCATCAAAATGAGAATTAAAAAGGAAGATCTGAGAAAAGGAATAGAAAGAAAATGATCCAAACATTAAGTGTTGGACAGTTTCCCCAGATGAGGACCCATTTGTGCTCAAGCCTCTGAGTTTCTTTAAAAACAAAGCAGTGAAAAGAAATCTACACATAACTCTTGCTATCCGAAGAGCATTATGAATGCAAAAACAACAAAAAAGTTCCTTAAGCCTGAATTCAATTTCAGTGAAACACTTTATAGGGGACAAAATCATGCTATGGGGGCTGGGGATATGACTCAGTGATAGAGCACTCACCTGGCATGTGTGAGGCCCTGGGTTCAATCCTCAGCACCACATAAAGATAAATAAATAAAGGCATTGTGTCTTTCTACAACTAAAAAATATCTTTAAAAGTTATGCTATGATCAAAAATGATGTTTTCACAATGATAGGAACCTTCATGGAAACACATAAATACACATTATGAAGTTCTTAGGTATTTTTGTAAATACACATTGTGAAGTTCTTAGGTATCAGGCATCATCCCGGGCAGATATAGAGACGCAGAAAGGATAAGATTAGGGTGAGGTCCCCTTGGTGCTCTCAGGCAAAAGCAAAAACAATCACAAATAAATTGATATATTGATCATGGAGACCTGTACCAAGGGCTGTGAGATCACAAAGGAGAGAGCAGCTACCTCACATCAGGGGTATGAAAAAGAAAGGGAAGAAATAACTTCTGAGCCCAGTTTTAAATGTAAACATATTCTTTACATAATAGATGTCACATCACAGGGAATGTTTTAAACTGCCAACATGTGCCTAGACAATTTTCCTGAGCATAATCTGACTCACTTGTGTTGCTTATGGTCACAGTCGCTGTTGTAAGATGCAATCGAATTCATTGATTCATTCCTCACAGGCCCTAAAGACACCCACCTTTCATGAAATGAATTGCTGAAATTCATTTCCAGGCCTTCCTATCTTATATTCTAGAGTGTTTGAAGGATCTCTCATGGCTTACTTGTAGCCTTTTTAATAGATGTGAGAGGTTTATGAAATTCTTTAGGTGTCTGCAGGCAACCAAAAACAAGGTATTATTTGGACATTGTAAAATAAGAACAATTAGGAAAAAAACAGCATCTGAAACTATACTAATGGACACTGCTGGTGTTCAGATATTTTCAACTTCAAAAATCTTTATCCAAATGAGCAGTTTAAAAATCTTTTCTAAGCAATTCCCATTTTACTGCAGTGGAATAGAAAGTGAGTCATCTGGCAATCTCTCAAAAAAATTGTAAACCACAAAATGAAGAAGAACCTGAATTTTAAGCAGCCAATGCTAGGCAATAACATCTTCATGAGGAAAATAGGATCTCAGAACGGCCTTGTCTGGCGTGGCGTATATTCTTGGAATGAACATGACTTTCCTGCACTGGTATCCCCAAGGGGATGGAAACATTTCTATGTCTTTCTGAAGTTTTCAATTGCAGCAAGTACTGCATAAAACAGTCTGGCAAATTTGCTTTCCATTGTGTCTTGCCAAACACCCCAAGAACTTCGGACTCCATGTAAGTTTGAAAACACATGAAGTCTCTTCGGCCATCTTAACTTCCATTCTCTTTGATGGATTACAACAGGCAAGCAGTTCCCTGCAATGGAGCAGGATGTTCAATCATGGGGGAAATTTGGAGCTTCTGCAATTGATTCTAAAATTATGATGCTGCTATCATACCTAACCCAATGGGGAATTTACAAAGGAAAAAAGAAAGATTCAGTCCCAAGTCAATGTCACACTGCAGCAAAGACAGTCTACTGAAGTGCAGAGTCAGGAAGCCAGCCATTCTTCACAGAAATTACATTCAGCTTGAAATTCAGTTCATAGAATAGAGTTAAAATATGGAAATGGAAATTTAGTTTTCCAGTTTGGGTTGATCGGAGATCAGTAATTAAGCTGAAACACTATAAACTCTGAGTATTTAACATCAAGAGGTTTTTAATGTATCTAAAAAATGAAAGTAAGATTTCATTCCTTTCAGGGTTAAAAAAAAAAGTAAATAAACCTAGGAAGCCTTTATTCCTCACTTTCTCCTTTCTTATCAGACATAAGAAAATATCTCTTGGTTTTAAAAAATGCCAACCTAGAAATTTCTGAGCAGGGTACAATGATTAGTTAAAATAAGTAGAGGGCAGTTGTTCAAAGAGAAGTACTAAAATAAAAGCATAATGATTCTTACAGTTAACACCTGTTACTGCAGTTCAATGATGTGAAGAACAAGTTGAACAGCTTATTAACAGCTATCATTTATTGGCTATGTACCATGTGTCAGACATGTTTATGGATTATCTTGTTCAATCCTCACAGCAGCCTCAGAGAGTTTTAGTACTGGTCCCTTTTCTGATGAGGAAACAGAAGCTAGGGAACTTGCCAACTCATGAGTAGCAAAGCAGGACTGTCCCACAGGTCTGTGATTCCAAACTCATGCTCTCACCCCCATCACCACCCAGATTTAGTGGTGAGCATGGATGTCTCTGACTTTTAACTAGCAATATTCATAAGAGTGTTGCTCGGTGAACCAACCATAGCAATAATGGTCATCATTGCAAGGATAGATACAACACATACAACTTGTGCAGCAATATCTGAGGACTTTCCATCTATCAATTTATATGATCGTTACAACAACCCAGAGAGTTAGGAGACTAAGCCAATGTAATTGAAGGCATAAGCAATTTGCCCCAAGGTCACACAGTTGGTGAGAATTTAGGAGTCAGAGCCATGCTTTGAACTCAGATGGCCTGACTCCTGAGCCTCTACTCTTGACCACAGTGATATGTATTGCTTGGTTAGAAGTTTTAACATGGATACAGACTAAATTCATGTCTACGTACATCCCAAGTTAGGCCATATTCTGAAATGGCTCCACTACCTTAGCACAACTTGTGAATTAAACTGAAAGGTAGAAAATCAATGAGGTCCATGATCAATATGAACTACCTAATGTATTCTTGAATTATTCTGCTCAATTAAGTTTCTATTACAGGGTTTAATCCACATATCTGACAAGTAAAGGACGAATAAAAATGATGGTTATGTGAAATTAATCAAAAAAGTGCCAAATAATTTTCAACAGCTAACACATGCATCTCATAACACATTTAAAAAGATTTATTGCATATGTGGATATATTTGCACAGGTCCACACAGTGGATATTTGGTATGCTGTTCCCAGAACATTAGCCTAGTTCAGTACCTATTTTGAACCACAAACAAATATCCATGAACCTTAAAGTCAAACACAAAATACTTGCCACCATGAGGCTTCCTTACACCAGCTGTTGAAGTTGAACATTAATTTTCCAACTCTGATCAGCCCAGGAGCTCAAAAATAAAAACAAATTGGTTTAATTGTTTTTCTATGCTAAACTTAATGTTCTGAATGTTATCACGTATCAAGTTTCTTAACTTTATATATTAAGTTAAAGATGTCATGTACTAAGAAATAGCTAACAGTTTTTCTTTACTGTTTTCTTTCTCTGCAGGTATTCCCAGTATTTCCAGTATTGGTAGTAAGTAAACAACAACAACAAAAAAATCACCAAACCAAGTCTAGGCCAGCTTTGCTTTGTTGTTCGGCTCCTCAGATCTATTTTCCCAATGTCCATTTCTGATGCAGTACAGCATTTTCCTTGTGAATTGCATTTTTGTGTCGGTTTTCTGCACAGACGTGGTGAGAACACGGAACAGTTATTTATGCACAACTCTCCTGTGGATATGTCAGAGCCAAAGCTTTCCTGAATACTTTTGACCAATGATGGCCACCTATACAGAGGTGCAATAACTTGGAAACTGTAGTTCATTTGGCAAAAATGGAAACACTCCTATTTACCTATACATAGTAGTCAACAATCAAATTGAACTCTTTTTCTATGACTGGATATGGATTTCTAACATAATTTAGAAAAGCAGAGAATGAATACCAATGGATGCCTTGAGCATATTCATTAGAACCAAAAAGGAGGGGGCATGAAAAGAGGAGGAGGGAATTTTGTTAATGCATTAAACTCGAGGTTTTGTGAAGGCCTGAAAGAGGCAGATTCAGCATTAGTCTATCTGGAGGAATGAAGGAAAAAAGATAATCAGTATGTCCACTTCTTCCTCCTAAAACACCGTGATCCACATGTTTTGAGTACTTAGGTTTATATTTGATAGAGAAGGGGTATGAAAAATATATTCAGAATTTAGGAGTCAGCGGACCAGAAACTCTAGCAAGAAGTCTTTTCTGTAAAAATCTAAGCAACTGAAGAGGAATCTCTCTTCAACCCTCTGTGTAACACTTTTCCAGCGTCACTGAAAACAACATTCTCTGACTTCCGTGAGAGTCCCAGACTGCAGCTCCCTCTTTGCACATAAAGCAATGATACTCTAACACCAAGTCTCTCTCTGAATATGCCCAATAAATTTTGAGCAGAATTTCACATACTTTTATACATTACACCCTGGATTTCCAATGGCTAAAACCTTGGGAAAAACGACTGAATATCAATTAGAAATAAAGTACTGAGGGATCCTCAGTTTTGCACTATAAAAGAATTTTCGCTATGGTGTCACCCTTCAAAGGCTTGTGTCATAAGAATTGTACTAGGCATGGTGATCCCAGTGGAAGCATTGCCATATCTAACACACAAAAAGGCAATACTCTGATAATTTGGACAAAACAACTTCCCTCTTGAAAATGCGCAGTCAGGTTCTCCAATTTAGAAACCAACCTTGTTTACTTAAGATTGTGAATAGGCCCAGACACTGATTTGTCAGCACTAGACATGTTAAATGGCATGAAAATCAGTGGCTTTGTAAATAGCGGTAGCATTCACATCCATTTATTGTTCACAGGCTAATAATACAGCATCTCTTTGTGATCTTAACCAAAATAGTATCAGTGCTGCAACCTGGCAAATGAGAGCCTACAGCTTTAATAGTCTAAATTTTCTGCCAGAGTACCCACCTCCCAGGGCATTTGCCTAACTGCACAGGTACCCCACAGTGTGCTCCTTTCAGGCCTTGACAATTGTATTTGCATATGTGTTTCAGAGAAAAAGGGAACCAAACAGAACCAAGTTTAAACAAATCACTGAGGCTGCTTTTGCGACCTGGCCTGTAAAAGTTTCAGAAATGGATGGATGGAAAAGTAGTTCTCTGGCGCTGGTTGTGTTCTGTTCAGAGTGCCAGTTGCGTGTTGCATGGACCCTCTGACTGTACTGCTCACTCAACATCTCATTCGGCAGCTTTCACCACATCCCCCATCTCTGAGCATCAGCAGATGTTGACCTTTTACATACTGAATTGGGAAATTCCAGTATTGTTTTCCTTTATTTTGAAATCAGTGGTGACCTGAAAGGATGCTTTGTTGTGCCTTTGGAAAATGTATTAATCTTTACTATCCGGAAACTAGGAACATTTAGCTCATAATACCTGCGACAAAAACCATTTGTCTCAAAGTGACACTTTGTACTCTGCCTTCAGTACACCTAGGGCTTCTCAGCTTCGAATGCAATGGGTGTTTTCTCAGATTTCCAGCAAGCAGGATGTAAGAGCTCCCAGGGGTCACCCAACATCACACATGATTAGTTTGCCTGTTGCCTGGCTTTTAAGGTACAGAGATTTTATGATAAAACCATCAAATATGATCGTATCTTCTAGGTTGCTTTAATGGCATTTGCAAGTTCCTTCTTTGTGGGCTTATAAGGTGCTTGCCGTGTGCATGGGGTATTTCTTTTCTCTCCAAGGGGCAAGAATTCCCCTGTAGACAATTTGGTGCCTGTTCTAGAGGGTATGGCAAGGGAGTTTCCAAGGGACAAGTCAGAGAAGAGGAAGCTGCTTGGATTTCTAACTAAGTTTGGGTGTTTGCCAGGGCTTTTTCCCCTACCCCAAAGAAGAAATCAATGAGCATCATTCCACAAGCTATGAAGGAAGATACCATTACAACAAATATAACACCCATGAGACTCTAATCATCAAAGTGTATCTCAAAGAAAATAAATGATGTATATTATTGATGTAAATTATTGATGTGTGTAACCATAAGTTTACATACATATGCTATATACACAACAACTAAAGTTTTGGGAGTCCAGATAGATTTCAGTATAGATCTCAAATTGTCACACCTGTATTAAGGCATACATGGACAGAGCAGTCATCCTTTCCGATCATCTGCTAAAAATACTTTTGAAACAAATTTCCCATTAAGGTCATTTGTACCTGCTGTTGTCTATCTGTTAGGAAATAGGTTTCCCAAACATCCCAAGGGTAGTTGATTTAAAACTCACTCCTTTTGATGTGCTTTGACCATGGCTGAAAAAATACTGATGATATTGTGAGCAATTAATGAATCCCAAAATAGATCGGCAGCCCAGGAGCCTTCTCATCAATATTTTGTTTCACCTTACCTGATGTGGTACCAATTCATTCAGGTTTTGCTTTTTTTAAATAAAGTATACTTATAAGTAAACATTCACAGTTTTATTTACGAGAACATGTGTTGATGCAATGATCCAAATTAATAGTTGACCTGTAACGGGTATAAAGTGATAAATGAGTTAAAGTGATAAATTAATCATTGACTTCTAGCATACATTATCTGACCCTTAGTCCTTCAAAGCAAATGATTCTACTAATTATGTTAAACTATATATTACAAATAGCACAATTAGACAATCAAGAATTGGCCTAATGAACAAATAGCTTTGTGTGGGTGATTATCACTTCCTACCAAAGCAAATGACAGATGAGTTAGAGGTTAAAGGTCAACCATGCATGAAATGGAAAATCACATCAAGAAAGACTTGGAATTTTTAAATAATTAGAAATGTCTTAGAAGACCAACAAAAGAAAAGAAAGACATAAATATCTGGTGACCCTGCCTATAGATTATTTCCTTTCATATGACTGACATGATGGCATATAAAGCAGAGAATATTGATGAAGTTGTTTGGCTCCCTTTCCCCGGCCTCTGCCATCCCCAAATTATTCAATTTGAAACAGCAATTCACTTAAGGGAAATATCTCATTTTCCTGTTTTCTCTTATAATGAGCATTGCCTTCATCACAGAGTTAAAAATTCATCTCTAATTTGATTTAATTGGCAGGACTATTAAACAAGGGAAGTGCTACCTGCAGGGATCCATCAGCCTGTTGAGAAAGCCCAGAGATGTTTTCATACTTGAAAATATTTGATGCCAGTTGGAGACCTTGTAAAAGTTGTTTTCCATACAGCATCTAAATATTTTTGTGCAGTGCCAATTTATTGTAGAAACTTGGATCGTGAGGAAAATAACAAGGTTAATCATTTCCCCACCCAAGGGTTATTAATAATCGTGTTCATGCTATCCAGAGAGCTTCAGTGTATGTTTGCTGTCTTTTCCCCTTTGCTTTAATACTTCTAAATCCCCCCAATAAAAGTTTCATTTGAATTGCCCTTTAACTAATTAGTTTTTATACAGTGAGGAAAAAAATTACCAGGCTAGTGTAGCAATATAGCAAATTGCATGGTATGCTACATTAATTTTGAATTGTTTGCTGATGTTCTAGAAGGAAAACTGAGGTCCCCGGTGAAATGCCTTTGGGAATGTTCTATCATATACCCAGTACCTTCATCACAGATCCATTTCATATTTGTGTAACTAGCATTTCACACTCATAAAACCTTTGTGGTTATCCTAAAATTGAATGAACATTAGGATGTAGCTGCCTCCTTAATCCTGAAGAACAAACCGAATAAATCCAATAAAGGAGCAGGGAAGAATCTCCCATTTTTTAAAAAAAACTGAGAAGTTTACCAATCTTTATTGGCAATAATTGCCTTTCTTAGGCAAAGTGACTTTTTCATGTATTAACCTTTTCCCAGGCAAATTTTAGAAATTCAAGTCACTTTTTTTTTTTTTTAAGTGTGAGCTGATATCTCTACCTTTGCTAGTTATCTTTGTCGGGTCAGGAAATTTCTAGTTGAAACAAAGATTTGCCAAGATTTCAAAAACATCCTGTAATAAAACTTCAAACATGTTAATTGTAAATTCCTGCACAATCGTAGTTTCTTCAAGTGTGTGAATATCCATTGAAGTCTTCTTGGAGTACCAAGGCAGAAAGTATCCACTGCCCCTCATAAGAAAAGTTAGGCACAGAACTTGGCTCAGAATTGTAGGGAGATGTAGCTACATGTTTACAGAATTTTATTTTTCAAATAGTGAAATCTGAGGCTCAGAGTGGTTAAATAACTTGTCCAATGTAATATGGCCAGGAATGGATATCTGACTCCAAAGGCTACATAGAACATGATATAGCAAGTGGAAGAAATTAGAAAACAAAAGATTCCAGATTTATAGACCCCCTCCCCAAGATGCTTCTACTCTACTACATTGCACTTTAAAAGACCTGCTAATTCTTGAATTGATTCATTTTGTTTCAGGGATTCACAGAGTCCTGGAGAAAAGTAGAAGTTCATGTTTTCTTACATCACTGTGTTGTCAACAGGGAAAATTTACACACGGAGTCTGAGGACAGTGAATGGAAG